ACAAACACTGTATTTTTGCACTCTTGTGTACAGGAGTAAATTGCAATCCTGCAATCAGGAAATGCTGTGACCAGAAGTCATTATGGTGAATTTTCTGAAGTAATGCAAAGGCACACAGGAAATAGCTTTCCATGATTTAAAGCCTTTTTCACATGGGCTGCTAAATTCTCAGAAACAGCAACTAGTAACTGAAGACAAGTGATGGGTTATTGCTTTCTCCCCAGCCCTATTTTTCCATCAAAGCAGGAAAGGAAATTAAAGATAAATCTGTTTTTATGAAATAGAAATAGGTTTTTTTAATTACAAATAAATCTTGGACAAAAACAGAGCAAGTGAAAGCACTGCTGTGTCTCTTTTTGGCAGGTAACTTGGTAAAGAATGGAACAGGTGGCTTCAGGAAGTAAATTACTCCATGCCTCTGCACGTGTTTGGTGATCTGTTAAAATAGCAGCTGTCCCACTCTCATCTCAGTCAAAAAGAGAAGGCAATTATTACAGCCTTAGTTATCACTATAGGTAAGCAAACAGGCTTCAGCACAACTTGAACCCTGGCTCTTTTGCTCTTGTTTACCAGCAGCCACACACTGCTCCAGGCAATTCACACAACAAGCAGACACATCCAGTATCAGCCAGAAAGAGGAAGGGTTTTCACCAGCGTCAGGAGTTGCTTAGACCTTAAGAAATGTAGATCTAGTTCTTGTGCTCACACAGGGCTTTGCTGGGACCGCTTTGGCATGCCTTTTCCAGCTCAAGTGCTCCTGGAGCTGCAGGCTCTTTGGCTCTCAACCCCAGCTGTAAACCTAGCCCTAACCCCAGCCCTAGTGCTAGCCCCAGCCATAGCACTAGCCCTTATCCAACCAATCCTATGAGTTTTCCAGATCAGAAAGTTGGATGCAGCAATGTTGGAGCAGCAAGGCAGCCTATAGTTTTTGTTTTGTGTTAGGGCTAGGGATAAGGCTGGGGTTAGAGTTAGGTTTAGGGTTAAGACCAAGAGAGTCAAAGAGCCTACAGCTCCAGGAGCACCAGGGCTGGAAAAGGCATCCCAACACAATCCTGGCAAGGCCTTGACCTCGCTGGTCCTACATCCTTCTTGGCAATACAGTACTGTTGGAACAGTAATTCCAACAAAGAATAAAAGATTTCAGAAGAAAGACAATTCCCTTGCAGAACTTAACTTGAGGCATACTTAGCTCAATATGGCATGTCTTTGGGTAGGAAAAACTCATTCTGAGGCCTAACATCTTCTTAGCTGCACTGTGTCATTATTAAAATTCATCACAAGTATGCTGCATGTTAACCATAGCTTTCTGGTGCAAGCATTGTGAAAAGGATAATCAATGCCCAAGAAGAAACTCTGGAGGAGACGATCATCCTTTCAGTGGCTTGTCTTGTTTTCCCTTTTTCCCTTCACTCTCCAGTAAAGATTCATCAGCAGTTGTTAAAAGTCCTTTTTGCTGGAGACCAGTCAAAGCCTGGACATAGCATGCAGCTTGTTGCTCAGCACTGAACTGGTATTTGTGCAAGTTTGACTTTGTTTTCACTGCCACTGGGGGTGAAGGGGACATGTAGCACATACAACAGGATAAAAAAAAAAGGATAAACCCTCCATTATTATGCTTCACAGTGTTTGGCATTTGAAATCAAGAGATAATGTTAAATTCTGTCATATTGATTATGCACAGAAAAAAAAAAATAAATCAAAGGCCAATGGTCAACTTGTGACACAGGAGCCTATTCTGAATGGACTGCAGAACAATCTGGGACAGTGCTGGGAACTTCTACAATTTGAAAATTCATCTGTGGAAGACAAAAGTTTCTAGTTTCCTTTGAATCCAGTGAAATCATTTGAATTTAGAGAACACAGGCAGTCCCTGTCCTTCAGAGGCAAGGTTCTGCCAATTGGTTGATCGGTATCACCTTTCTGTGAGGTAGCATCCTTTTGCTCCCATGGATCTTCTACCAGAGCTGCCCTTAACCCCTAAATTGAGAAACAAAATACAGCTTGGCATATGCTCTAGAAAAAGTTGCTTCTCCAGCTTTAGAGTACAATTGTCTTTGAGGATCGTCCATTTATTTGGGCTCAAACGCAGTTTTTAATTGAAGCTGTTAAAGCTCCAGGCTGCAAGTGCTTTTAAAATTCGGTATGTCTCCTATGAATCACATCATATCCTGAGATCTCTGTTGTCTCAAGTTGCCTTTTTACAGCTCTAGGCTAAAAACTTTAAATCAAAACATTTTAAAAAGCTGAACGAAAGAAAGGAAACACAATGAGACTTGTCTGGCTCACAGCCAGGCCAAGGTTGCTATCTGATGAATATTCTGAAATATAAATCACTAAAAATGGAGACTTACTATGTCATCAGTTATTTTTTAGCAGAGTGAAGAACAACTGAGTTTTAAGAGACGTGTAAGAGAAAGATGCAGCCTTAAAATTAACTTTGGTTTAAGTTTCTTCCTTGAACTATTGGTATTGAACATTGTGGTTTGCATTTTACATATTCCTTGTAGATGTCTGCTGTTTTGTTTACAAATTCAATATACACCATATTTTTCTATAATAAAAATAGAAAGCTTAAATAAACAACTATGGAGCTAAAATGTAATATGAAAAACAAGAGCTAGAATAATTTGTGAAAAAAAGCAGTTCTACATATTTTTAAAAGCTTTGCATTTCTAAACCTCAAGCGTTGGCTTACCTGATACTTTTGTAACATTTAAAGGATGATAGCCAAAGACCTACTCATTCAACTAACACCTTGCTATGTTGTTACACTGAATGTATTTCTGAACTTTGGCCCTATTTCAGAAGACATCTATTATTTTCAAGTGCTGTAGTTCTTAATCTTGTACATGCTTTAAACTTTAATGGATCTCAAGTTGTGATAACATTTGTGAAGGTACTTATATGTTTATATGAGCACTCATAAGCACATGAACTAGTATTCTAGAAGTCAGCCTTTCTGTGAGACACAGAAACAAACCTATTGATGTGGGAGGCAAATTGTGATGACAGCAGCAGCACACAGTTATGCCATCTCATGATGAGATGGGAAAGGCAGTCTGTTAATCTGTTCTAGAGCTGTAGCTCACGACTTCCCTTACTTCATCACACTGTAGCCAGTATAATATTAAATACTTATTCTGATCTTCCATTAAATTTAGTGTAGTTACCTTGTGGACTACAAAAATCCCTGTAGCTGCACAGTCCAAATCTGATTCCAAACTGGTTTTCTTCTGACAAGTCATACCACACTGTCCAGGATGTTGCCTTTCATCAAAATAGGTATTTCTCCATTAAAACAAAGTGAAAACTGATGAAGAACCAAAATTCATCCTGGCCAAAAGAGCTGTTCTGTAAAAGCAGGGAAATGTTTCTAACACAAACAGGGACTCCTGATTGCTGAATCACACACATGAGTGTGGCTACTATGTTAGTGGAAGGACTGGGAAAGCACTCCTGTACTCATGACTCGATACATTTGTTAATGAGTACTAATAGGAAAGAGGAAGGAGGGGAACAGGGATCTATAGTTTTCTCAATTATTTGGAAATTCATACTACTTACAACTACAGTACTCAAAAACATGTCCCAGTATGTGTTCAGGTGATCTACAGGCTCTATTGGCACACTGAGGGTCATATCCTCCTTTCTTTTCCTCACACAAACTGGGAATAACTCAACTGCAATTCATGTTGCTGAAACAGGGAGAAGAGTCAGACCTGAAGTTTAGTTTTCTCTTATTTTTAATGAAGCTTTTCTAGCAAGCTATCACTTGCATGCAATGCAAGATGTCCCCTTGCAGAAACTAAGCGCTGCTGGCAGAAATATTCCAGTTTAATTAAGTTGCTAAAAGAGACTGCCAGTTTTAATATAGAAGGAGGGATACTTTCAGGGAGAGATGCAGCAGAAATAGCTGCCTCCAGCAGAAATGAAATAGCTAGGGGAAAGGAAGCCAGCAGCTATACACAGTGCAAATGATGATTAAATGGAACCACAAAGAAGAATAGGGAACAGATCAGTGAAAAGGGAGATGAAGACCTAGAAAACAGAGTATGAGTAATAGTGTTAAAGAAAATTACTTCTTGTGCAAGAGTAATGAAAATGCTAGACTATGTCTCCAAAAATACTTAACTGTGTAAAGAAGTAGTGATCATCGTGGGAAATTACAATTTAGAAACTGGAAGGTGAAAAGTGCTATCTTAAAATTCAGCCCACATCCTTAAAATGTCTGAGAGCTCAAAAAGAAGCTCTTTTTAAAGATTAAATTGGAGGTGCATGGGATTAAAGATCTGTGTATAAAGAAGAGTTCAGAAAAAATTAAAAAGATCAAAAGTTAACATCCAAAGCATATCTTTATGGCTGTCCTGGGGTGACTTTATGGTGCTTATATCCCAAATCATCTGTTCTGTTTATGCTGAATATTAAGTTCTGCACCTTTAAGACTGGTTCTGAAAGCAAAGGGGTAGAGAACTGATTTGGAAGCAGCTCTTCAGACTGAAAGCATGAGAAACCTCAGAGAAATTGTGAAAGGCTTCTGGTGCTATACATTAGATTTCTGCAACTTGCAGTGAATGACCATGTGCATTTAATAAAAATCATCTTGAATGAGAGAAAGAAGGTCAAGATGAAGAAATAAATAAAGAAAAAACATTGAAAGGAAAAAAAGGAAAAAAGCATCTCTTCAAATTAATGTAAGAAAGAATGCATGGAAATGAAGCTTGTCAAAGGGGAAAGAGACGGAAGAGCGTGATGGAAAAACCTGACAGTTCAGATATACAGCTGGTAATTAGGCAGTTCCTGGGTATCTTTTCCCTGCTCCAGGATGTGGGGAGGTCAACTCCCACTCAGATTAGTCAAGGATCAAAGATTTTTTAAAGCCACATAAAGCAAATTTTTCTTTCTAACATGGTTTGGGATGCCTCTGAGCAAGTCCTGTGTATGCAACTGGAATTTAAGGAAGAGAAATGGAATTAAAAGACTGCAAAGGAGGAAGAGGATTAACAGGGAAGATAAAGTTATTTTTAGCTTTTCTTTTCCTCCAGTACAGTGTGAAAGTGATGAAATGTAATTAATATTGATTCTCTGTGATTCAGAAACTGCCTGTAGTATCTTTGAGTCTATATGCCACTTACACAGCTGCTGTTGGTTTTCCAGGGCACAGAGCTGCACTGAGCACCACAAACCATGCAGAAGAAAAAAAGTACCATTGGGCATTACTCTGATGGGGGAGCTAAGTAGAGGCAATAATTTTAGCAAGTGCATTTAAACAGGTGCCCATTACAGCTTTAAATGGTTAGATGTTGGGGAAGACAGTCATTAATTTGATGCAGCAGTTGCTTACACATAAGTCCATGTTTGGAACACTTTTGTAGATGGGGATAAATCATAACTACTCCAAGTTCTGACAGTTCATTGTGAAGCTCATTATCTGTGTCACCTGTGTGTGCCCCCATAAAAAACCTCCTGAAAAATCTGCATTCTGGAAAGCTGGAGACAAGAAGATCAGATCCTTCAGGCTGCCAAAGTGCCATTGTTGATGTATTTCTGCCAATCCACTTCCATGACAGACTCTTCTTTCCAGTCGTGGTAAGACACTGCATGTCACTGTTTCCCAGCCCATCTGTCCTATCAAATTGTCTTCTCTCCCTCGGGCTGTTTTGTGTTCTACTTGTGTATGCAGGTTTTAATCCCTCCATCTGATTAGTTAGGAGAAAAAACAGTCTTAATCTGATAACAACAGGATAATGTATCACTACAAAGATAGGATGATTATATTATTGAAAAAATATTATTTATTCACTAATGCAGTTTATAGCAGAATACAATGGGTTGTTTTTTTTTGCAAGAAACTAGGAAGTTGTCCTGAAATAATATTGGATTTAAGAGTACTCCATGAAATACTGATATCATCCACTAAGAAGAGATATCTCTCAGTTCATCTCTCATGCATTTCAGCAGCATGTTTTTATGCTGGTGTTCCTAAGGGATCTAGCATATCTTTGGATTTTCTTGTTCTTGGCTCAGTTTGCCCCACTTGGGAAATTTTGTACATTCAGAAGAATAAAACCCAGGCATATGTTCCCTTATTATAAAAAGTACCTGCTCTCCAAAGAAATTTCCTTGTAATTATTTCCAAAATGACCTGGCTGAAATAACTGGTAAATTTCAAGGCTTAAATCGACAATGTATCAGATATTTGTGTAAAACAATTGATTTATGCAGGCCTCACCATTTTAGTTATTGGTCAGTGTTTGAGACAGATTAGCTTGGAATTTGGAAACATTTCATTAAATTGTTCAAGTAAGCTTATTAGACATCTCGTAAGACATGAAAACAGTAGCTTAATAGAACTTCCCTTTGTACTGAGGTGTATAACCCTACTTCACATCAGCAGGCACACATGTGGTGCATTCAGGACAAGGAAATGCACATCTGGATTACATGACAGCAGTGAGCCTCCAGCCTGCCTCTCAAATACTGAAAACCCCTCCAGAGGTCTGGAACTTCTCTTCTGATAGCCTTTCTGGTGACTCCAGGTGATCACCCACAGATGTCTCATGACAGAGGCTCCCACAGGCAGGGAGAAGCAGCTTTTCCAGAGCAGGGAATGCCTGAGGAAAGGGTCAACGCACACAGTCAGCAGCTGGACTAATTCAGCCGCAGATCAAGGTCATTGTCACTGACCTCAGTCTAAATTTGCAGAACTCTTTAGCTGCTCCTGTTGGCAATATTTAAGCTTTCAAATTTAACAGATTAAATACAAAATAAATATATCTTTTGACTTATTTTGCTGAGTCAAATTGGAGGCTTATGCCAAGAAAATTTGAAATCACAGTGAGAATGTTCACAAAGAGGTAAAATAGTGTTGTATGTATGTTACAAAGTGAGAGGGGAGAGCTTAGACAAGTCCCTGCCTTTGACAGGTTTCTGGCAGCACACAGCAGCTTTACTGAGGCAGCCAGCACCCCAAAACCCACTCTCATTCACAAATTCTTAAATAATTACAGATCAGGCCTACAACAACATGAATAATTTATTGAGGAGACCAAGGAAGACGGACATAAGACTTTAAACAGACTACTTACTACACAGGATAACACAAAAAGAACTACTTGTAGATAAAAATACAGTGCATGGTAAAAAAGGGACTTATGTTAGAGCTAGCAAAGAAATAGTATAGATTAAGAATCAGTGTCACTTACCAACGCATGATAGTGGTGTGCAGAGAGTCTCCTAATTTCTCTCAATCCTAGAGAGAGGTATCTTGATGTGAATGTCTCCATGTTGAGGAAATATTTTCTATGCTCTCTGAGGGAAGATGCCTGACAGGCAAGAGAAGGCTGTTACTGGGTTTCTGGTTTTGTTTGTTGTTGCTGTTGTTATTGTTTGTTTGTTTGCCTTCTTATAGATACAAACTAGTAAAGAACTGTTATTTCTTTTCCCATATCTTTGCCTGAAAGCCCCTTAATTTCAAAGTTATAATAATTTGGAGGGAAGGGAGTCATATTTTCCATTCCAAGGGAGGTTCCTGCCTTCCTTGGCAGACACCTGTCTTTCAAACCAAGACAAATATCTAAAAGAGATTTTAAAAGTTAAAGTTTCAGAAATAAGTGACGTAAAAGACTACATCTATCACAAATCAAAACTACAGAGATGAACCGTTATCGAATTTATACAGGAGAATTATAAATGCAGTGCACCTTTTTAGAAACTTTTAATAATTGATTCCACTGTAACCTCTTGTTAACAAGAACTTAAGTTTCCCCCCTCTGCAAAGGAAATTGTTTTATGCAGAATACACGAACAGTACAGCCTTGTATGATTCAATTAATATTTAATTAATTAATCATATACTTAATCATATTTATAGTCTCACCAAATGTTAATAGTTTTGTTGAAGTTTCCTTGTTGAATATCTCCTTTGCACTGAAATTTCAATTAAAAAATTTTGTAAAATGCAAGCAACTCACACTTTACAGTCACACCTTGCTCTGCCATGGAGCTGGGCTGGTTTCCCAGGTAGGTACTGTTTTGGGGCTGTGAGCTGGTTCTGCTGTGTCCCACAGCTTTACTGACACTGTTGTTCAGTTCTGAGCAAATCTGTGTAATAAGAATTATTCACAGCCTCACCAGAATGTTTTAAGCACCGTCTATACTTTCTGAGCTCAGGAGAGATATTTAAACAGCCTTTTATTTCCTTTATGCCTGGAAGGAGGTTCCTTCAGAAGGTCTCTGGCTCTCATGGTTTTTCTTTCCAGTTTCCTGCCTTTGCACCCTGGTGGTGATGATTCATGTGTTGGTCACTCACGTGCAGGCAGAGAGTGTTAACACATCTGCCCACTACTGCACTCACAAATGTTTCCTGTCTCACTGCAGAACTGACAGCAATACCTTTCCGTTATCACAACACCACATATTCAAGACAACCCTCTTCCCCATGTCCCCTTTCCACACATTGCCTCTTTGTCCAACCAGATGTTCACAGGATGTCCTCTCCTTATCTGAGTATCATGGAGAGGGTTTAACTTTAGGTTTACATTGAGAGGGCTGGTCAGAGGGTGACTCTTGGGCCTGGTGGGGTGTGCAGGCAACTAAAGTATGGTTCCTGAGGTAGAGTCATGTCATGTGGCTGGCATCAGGGTGGTGCTAGTTGGGAGGTCAAACCCCCCTGTCATGGGAAAGAGGAGGTCCAAAGAGGCTGCTGAGGCTGGCTCTTAGATTATGTGTGTTTCTGCTTCATCCTGTGGCTGAGCACTGGAACCTTTAGATCTAAGTAACACATTCTTCTTACTCCTCTCAGCTGCTATGTTAATCATGGGAAGATTTGAAACATCTTCTACACAGCCTACTGGTGTCAGTAATGGTAGGCAGCACCAGGCACTTCATGCTGAATCACAAGCTTTTCTTGCTGCATCTGGGCAAGCTGGCAGTTTCAATGTTTGGAAAGGCTGCAGCAATGTTTTTCAGCAGCTTTCAGTAGGTATCTTTCCAAACACTATTGTGTGAAGCTCATACCTGCTCCAGATAGACTAAGAATGATGGAGAAAACACCTGCTTCCTGAGTAGATAATTCCAGGAGTTAATTACGCACACTGTGAATAATGTGGTCCCATTTCTGTTCTCATTTTATTTGGCTTAGTTTCCAGCTAAATAATCTCTCTGTCCTTTGACTATTAGAAACCTTCTACACAGATATTAAATTGAATCAACTCTGAGCTTCCTCTTCAACAAATTAAATAGTTTGAAGTTCTGTTATTAGGTTCCCTGGTATTTATATAATTCTTTTAAGTCATTCTGGAAGTCCTTTCACATTTTTCAGAGTTCTTCAAAGAAAGCAGAAGTTAATGTTAGGCAGTATTCCAGGTACAGCCATAGAGTCTTCATCTCAGCTGTGGTGCAGGAATGCTCTAGGGTGCATTGTGCATTCTTGATCTTCTAACCATTCACTAAATTAAAGCCATTCTGGCCATGACTTTGTCATTGCATAAACCACCTGGTAACAGAAATTGTATCATCACTGCTTTTTCTGACTTCAGTGCTCCGCAAGTCCCACCATGTCTCTCTGAAAAGTCACACACATGTTTTTTGTTCTAATTCAAACCATTAAAAGTTCAACTCATTTATGAAAAAAAAGGCATTAGAAATCTGACTTTCATAATTTATTTCCAAGCCCAGATGCCTATATGAGTTACAATGTTAATTCTGTTTATATTCACTAAAGCAGTTTCAGCTTGTTTGTGAACTGGTTTCGCTGATCTCTGTCTATGTTGCTGTATTTTAATACACAGCATATTCTGTAAGGCTGATGCATTAATCTGGTTAAGAAATCAAAACAGGTATTTCCAGACTGAGAGGTTTCACTTGTTGAATCCCCAAGGGAATTTAACTCTGTACTGTGGATTTTTGACTGTTTTCATTTCAATTGAATCAGAATTATTATGCTGAGGATAAATTTGTACCGGCTTGTTCACTGGCTTATTTGAATGATTACACAATTGTCACACTCTAGGAAATAATTCTGCTATTCAAAGCATAGGGCTAATCAGAATTTTTTCCTTGGAAATAAAAGATTATGGGTAAAAAGCATAGAGGAGAACAAGACTATATTATCTCATGAAAGCAATCAACAAACACTAATCCCTTTAAGTGCTCAGTTCTGAAGTAGAATAGCACTTGTGCATGGTATAGAATGTAAAAGGATCAGTCTGTACTACCAGCTAGGCAGACAAAATAAGCAGAAAAGTACTCCAGTTTGCACCTTTCTGAAAGAAATGGTCCTTCTTTCTATTATTCACTGAATTGTTATTCGCACAGATATTTGTGATTTTCAGTTAATACTGCAAGAGAGATAGTAATTATATTTGTTTTAGAAGTAATATTATTATTCCAGAACTAGTATTTCTGTTGCCTAATTATCCCTTTGAATCACCCTATGTGAACCTTGCTTGGTTGCGTTCCTTTTCCCTTCTTTTCTTTTTTTTTTTTTTCTTTTTTTGAGTTTGAACAAAAGGTTTACCTGATTACAATAACTATTTGCTTTAGTTAAAAAAATGTCCAAGACAAGACATTAGGCTGTACTTGACCACATTGGATTGCCTTCAAGAACATGAAGGAGACCTGGCTGGGAATATTCAATACCTCATCATTCATACAAAGTTTTCTGATCTTTCTTGTAGTTGCCCAGCAACAAAGTGTCCAAGTCAGTCCCTTTTAATTAATGACAGGGAAGAATGGGTTAATAATTAATGCAAAGATATGGGACTTCTGAAGTAAGGTCTTGACAGTTCATGTCTTTAATACATGGAGCTGGCTTTTAACCTAGGAAAATTATTTTTCTCACAATATTTAAATAAATGTCTCATAAGGTTATTGAAATTTAAACTGTGAATTATATGCCTCTCACTTTCAGATCATAATCAACGTCTGAATGATGTATATTCTACCAAGTAAGTTCCAGAAAAATGGTTTTGCCAGATACCTTAAAAACTACATGGACAAAATACTCTTAAGGCATGGATTACTGTACAAAATGGGGTTGCCAAGACATTAACACTTTCTTAATTTTGTCACTCCTTTGCCCTGCTGGGTTTATACATCCTAACTGATCCCTAGCCATGTGGCCTTTCCATAGAATGTTCACAAGTACTCAGGTCTTTTATTCAGAATACAGCTCTTAGTAGAATTGTAAAACAGCTTGTAGGAAAGCCTTGTCTTTTGAAAATAGGCTGCAACAGGGAGGTTGCAATTGTGTTTGAAAAATTTTGTCAGAAATGTTTATTAACTGTGGTACTGCCCTGGGTCAGGACAGGGGGATGTTATCAGCACTTGACTCACAACAGCCATATCATTTAGGTGAAGGCAAAAGCGAGGAGAAATATTTCACAGTGTTACCAAGAGACGAGTTTCCTTGTGAAATTTATTGCCCATGAAAATAATGGATTGTAGAATTAACCTGTCACACAAAGAAACAGATAATGTGGCCTTGCTCTTGCTGCTCAATGGCCGTGGCTAGACCGGGGGTTACTGGCAACACAGGTGATGCTGAGTTACCTGCAGTTCCATGAAATAATTGCAGCAGAAATCTCCCACTTATTTATTTGTTTACTTTTAACAGTGCAAAGATGCATGAGTTAATGTCTTCACGATGTCTTTTATGACACCAGGGCTGGCACTACTCCCGGGGCGATGGTCAGGCCCCGGATGTCACAGAGCCGTGTGGGGAGGCTCAGCCATTCCTAAAAAGAGGGCGTGGGGAAGTATCCCCAGAGGAATGTCACTGATGCCACGGCGTCCCGGCACGGCGTCCGAGGGCTGTGCAGGTGGATTTTAGGTGCTCCCTCTGGAAGCAGCGCAGAAATAGGGAACACAAAAGGAAAGCCTTCTCCGAGAGACTCCAGGTACCTACAGGCGTTGTGGGAACTGGAGACCCTGGCAATTAAAGCGCTTTAAACATTCGTAGCTTATTGCTGCTCACGGAGCGCCTGGCCGGGGGTCAGGCCGGGCCAGCCCCGGGCAGCCGCAGCCGCTCCC